TGGATGGATGGATGGATGGATGGATGGATGGATGGATGGATATGTACTTTCGTTCATCCATCTGTCCATCCTTCCGTCCGTACTTAAAGACTTCCTTTCTTCCTTCTTTTCTTCCTTCCTTCCTTTCTTTTCTTGTTTCTTTCTAAAACTCACAGGATTCTTGCCATTTTTGTGTTTGCTAAAGTTGATTACCAGGAATATTTTGCTAACAGACACAAAGATCGCCCTCCCGGGTGATAACGGTCTGTTTGCCCCCAACCTGTTGTGTCTCGTTGAAGAAGCTGAGCGTCTTGGAGGACGTGTCGAAGGACGACAAAGACGGCAGGGCCCGGCAGTTCCTGGAGGACATGAAGACGTCTCTGAGCAAGGAGAACTTCGACCGGATCGTCCAGGCTCTGCAGACCTACAAGAAGTCCGACCGCCTGGACCTGCTGCTGACCGAGACCCACGTCCTGTCCGAAGACGAGAACACCCACGGCCTGCTCCGAGGTTCGTCAGGTGCACGGCCCGAGTCGAGCGACGGCCGCGGGCGGGACTCGTTTCTGACGCAGACTCGTGTCGTCCAGGTTTTTATCAGTTCCTGCGGCCGCATCACAAGAAGAGCTTCGACGAGAAGTGCCGGGAGCTGACGGGGCGGGGCTGCGGCTACAAGCCGGATCACTCGCTGTCCAAGGACGAGAAGAAAGCTGTGATCCTGCAGAGCGGTGAGAAGTTCTGGTCCAAGTCCAGCTGGTCCAGGTTTTTCATCCAACCTTTATTTAAACAGCTTTGTTGTTGTTGTTTGTTTAAACAGGCCACAAAATATTTCTAACGTTTTATAGACGTTGTAAAGTTAATAAATATATTCTAGAAACAGAATGATTTATTTTTTCCCCTCGGTGTTTAATTTAAAATATTTAAAGCGAACTCTGTGCCGCGTGTTTTTGTTTACGCTCAGATTTAGTTTCCGTCGTTCGACGCTCTCGATGAGAACGAAGCGGATCGTCGGCGACGGAACAGAAGCTCCTGAGAGCTCGGCCACGCTCGTGCTCCCACTTGAAGTCTCCGTTTGGATGTTGTGGTTCCTGTTTACGCTCGGATCAGCTGATCAAACGCGTTGTTTACGCTGAACGCATTTCAGAACTGGAAAACTAAACTGGTCAAGAAATTTAATGTTCTGGTTAAATTTATATAAAAGTTTGTTGGTTCAGGAGATTTTTTGACGTCGGGGCTTCTCGAGATGCGACGGAGCTCAAGAACAACCAGTCACGAGTTCATCCTTTTTATTAAATGTGTCACGACTGAAGCAAAATAAAAATTGTTTTATTGTGTAAACCGCAGCTGCCTGAATTTGCTGGCGTGGAAACGACGGCGGGGTCGCCGTCTTGCGGTCGCCGTCTTGCGGTCGCCGTCTTGCGGTCCCCGTCTTGCGGTCGCCGTCTTGCGGTCGCCGTCTTGCGGTCGCGGTCACACGGCGTGTTTTACGAAGAATTCAAGGTCGTTCACGAGGAAACTGGACCTCGTCAAAAAGACGTTGTCAGTCGGAGCAACGGGCCCAAACGTTATTTTGCATCGTGGCCACGGTGCGAACGTTAACACGTTTATTTCTGACAACAATAGTCGCCACTCATTTGGTGAAGATAAAGAAATGCGAATTTATTCTCTCGTCTTTGGAAATAAATTTTAGACGCCCGCCGACGGGTGGACGTCTCATGGTACGGTCTACGTCCGTGAACTTTATATCTTCTGATCCGCTCGACCATTTACTGAGACTAGTTCGTGCACAGTTTTACCACCGTACCGTGCACACTTTTCATCACGCCAGCTCTAAGGTCACACATCAAGGTCAAAGGTCATACGAGTTCTTCGAGTCATTTTGTTGCTCTTGTTCTAGTTTATCGTTCTTTTCTTTCACATTTAAGTAACTCTGGTGACGCCGCGCCTTCTTCTTCTCTGCTGCGGTCTCTGAGAGCGGCCGGCAGGCGGCAGCTGCTTCCAGGTAAACCTCTTTGTCCTCCCACCGCAGAGGGAACCACACTCTGACGGCTCGTGGCCGAAGAGTTGGAGCGTTTGTCGACGTCGCTGCAGCCGAAACGTTAAGCGTTCGCGTTGTGACCCAGAGTGTGCAGACGCAGCATCAGCTGTCCTC